TGGCTTCCAGATGAAACCGTCCTTAAGGAACAGCAAAACACGGAAGGTATTGCGTCTAAGTACATGACAGAACTTGTTGGGAATCGGCGGTCTGTTAAGGTCCAAGATCTTATACAGTTGTTGAAGAAACACACTGATTGGCCATCGTGGAAGAAAATTAGTGTCGCTTTAATTGTTATTATAGAGGGAGTAGTCGCCGTTAAGTCCCAACTTGGGCTTGTCAATGAGAACATTGTTGAAATGTGTCGGGATATTAACTTTTTCCTTGAGTATCCTTGGGATCGTCATGCATTCCAACAGACTCTTAGTGAAATTGTTAAAGATAAGTCTGACGGATCCCGAACAACGTTGGTTGGGAGGCTAAAACAATCATATGTAGCCATGCATGGATTCCCTTTGTCCATTCAATTGCTTGCCTACGAAACTATATCTGGTTTAGATCAAATACACCGGGAGTCCGGCGATGAAGTAGATTTTACGCAGAGGTCTACCCATCAGTTTTGTAGGCTTCGGCCAATCAGTCAAGATGATGTGATTATGTGCGAATTGTCTGACGAGGTTAGTTTCTTAACTGATTTGATCTGTACACCTATATGTTTAGTCACTCAATTTGTTAGTTTTTCTAACAGTTGTAAATGAAAATCTTTTTTTTTTTGCAGCTTGTTGTTGAGTCAATTAGCCACACTTCTGAGGAATATGAGCTTGAGAATACTACTTGGGACGATGATGTGGTGGACCCGAAGATTGAACGTCGTGAGAGGATGATTAAGAGTGGACACATATTCACCAAACATTATTGGCCTGGAGGTGATTTTAGTTGCTCCCGTGTACATTCATCTTTGGAGAAGGGTCTAATCAAGGATTATGAAGCTATTGTACAGAGGCGTAAGCAGAAAGGTAAATTATTGGCAAAGAGAAAAAGAGATGTTGATGAAGGTGAGGAACCGGAAACCTCTTCCAAGCGTTCAAAGCATGGAAAGAAACCAAGGTTACCTGTATTACGTGACCAATGTGTTGGTAAGAGTAGGAAAGTGAAGGGAGCAGACAATTCTGTACAGCAAATGATTGGTAAAGTTGTACAGGAGATGAAGGATTTTCTAGAGATTCAGTTTGCTGTTGTGATATAGGGTCTGAGGGCTGTTGAATCAGCCCCTAGTCGTAGACTTAGTAACCGGCGGTCAAGACAGAGGAGACATCCTCCCAAGGTCAACGTTGTAGAATTCAATGATTGTGATGGACAGAGTAGTCCACGATCTAAAACACCGGCTGAAAAATCAGTTTCCCGGTGAAAGTTAGGGACAAGAAATTTGATGATTATGATGGTGTTGAGAGTGTTCTTAGGTCTGTGCATAATCTTGAGGAATGTAGCGCCAACGAGCAGGTAGATGTTTAATTATCTGATAGAAAGGCATTTCCTCGTTAAATTTTTCTTTTCAAGGGAATTTGAGTTTTTCATATTTTTTCCAAACACAAGATAAGTGTACGAGCAAGGACGTCGCTGGCGATATTGACAACATGGACTGTGCATTAGCTGATGTACATGGAACAGAAGCTACATCTAGTCTGGTAGAGTGTACAATAGAACCTCTCTCTACATCGAAGGATGATGGAGGAGTTGCTGCCGGTACAGTAACTAATGCACATGTTGGCGATGTTGATGTATGTACACTGATAAGAGTAGACCTATTTGTATATCATTGGTTTTTTTTTCAATGGAATTTGAGTTTTTTTTTTTTTGCTGAACACATGATAAGTGTACGAGCAAGGACATAGCCGACGATACTGACAACATGGAGTGTCCATCACCTGATGTACATGGAAAAGAAGCTGCATCTAGTCTGGTAGAGTATACAAGAGAACCTATCTGTACACCGAAGGATGATGGAGGAGTTGCACCTGTTGGCGATGTTACAGTATGTACACTAGTAAGAGTATACATATTTTTATATCATTGGGTTTTTTTTACATAGCATTGATAATTGTTGGACATGTACTATAGGAGCCAGTGGCTGAAGGCTGTAGAGATGGTGATGAAGAATTGGAGAGTTCGGACTCTGAGAAGGTATTCAATGCTCCCATCTTTTTAACTCTGTTGACCAATTTTAACTATTGTCCATGTGTTAGGGTGTTCCCGTGGACGGAGGTCAAGCACTAAATGGCCAGCCCTGTACAGTCCTAGAGGTGTGAGGACTCGTAACCCAACTGCTAAGGCCAAATCCCTTGTGAAGCCCAGCTACCTCTACGACCCGTTGGGAAAACTGAAGAAATCGGATCTTCCTCGCATCATGAAAAGAGCTGAACTTCACATTGAGCCGTAAGTAACAATTTTATATTTTTGCACTTTGTCCTTTCAATTCACCATTAATTTGTATCTGTCATGTAGGACTTTCTTGTTGTCCTCTGAATTTGAAGTTGATAAGAATTTCTTCTCCCAGCTCGCCAAAAAGCACGAGTTCGTTTCCAGCATTGTAAGTTCTCGTTAACTTGCACACCTGTAATTTTCAGATTTCTTAACTGATGAACGTGTACATAACATGAATGTTATGTACTATGTACGTCTGTTATATGGTATGGCCGTGTTTTGTATACATTTGTACATCTATAATAAGTTACATATGTACAATAGATTCACATTTCTATAGTAGATTAAAATGAGTACACTGGATTTCTACAGTACCATTGGTTTTCGTTTCATGTTAGGTTATTGAGGTTTTAGCCTAGTTGTTGTGCAAGAAATTGAATGTTTTTCTCAAGGAGAAGGGAGCTGTGGTAGTGGATCATTGGTCTATTTCACTAATGAAGACGTTGTACAAGGAATTTCAAAACCAATATATTTCTGGTATTTATAACTGGCATCCGAAGCTAAAGCAATATGCTATAGGCTCCTTACCTGCTGGGCCGGTT